TTTTTTCTGTGAGCGGGATTCACGGACAAAAAAAAACTTCATAGAGATGGGTATAAGAGTATGGATAAGGGTGAGTACAAATAATAGGACTGAAATTTATATTAACATTTAAAGTTTAGAAGTTACTCTGTATTACTTATAAACTACGCAATACAATAAGAGCATGTTTCACCAAACACGTAACTTTTGATTTCGTGCGCAGAATTGTATAATAATAAGAAAAAGTAAGGTTAACAATGCAGATGTATATAATGGAATCAAAGAGCACTCAGGATGTTTTTACTTGGACTGTAATTTGCTGGTCTGGTCTGATCTGGTCTGGTTTGGTCTGAACTGGTCTGGTCTGGTCTGGTAAGGTCTGGTTTCTTTGTATTTTTATAACTATCCAAGTCTGGTCTGGTCTGGTCTGAACTGGTCTGGTCTGGTCTGGTCTGGGGCAAATTACAGTGCAAGTAAAAACATCCTCACTCTAGCACTAGACCTATTGATCTCTTATCCGTACAATTAAGTCAAAACTCAAGCTAATCAATTGAACAATTACTCTTATCAATCCGAAGATAATGGAGCCGCTGGCTACTTAGCATGGGGAAGCACCTTGATTAATACCGTGACTCATCACTTTAATAAATTTGTTGGCATTCCTAAATTTGACGCTATTAGCTATCCATATGTATTTAGTTCTGAGTAGGCTTTGGTATAGTCTTCATACTCCTTGTAACCACCCTTTCTTCTAATAAATTGGTGAGGTGTTTCCTGGCCCTCACCCCAAAATCCTTGGGTTTTGGAAACTCACCAGATAAAAAAAAATAAGTTTGAAGTTATTTTTCTGACTGTATTTTGAAGGGAGAAATAGATATATAGCTTTTTAAATTAGTTAATAGAACACATTTATATTTTATAAAACATATAGCACTTGTATATGGAATTTGCATATACAAGACCCGTGAATAATGGATACGGACATAGTGATTTTGAAAATCAAGGTTTTCATTTTTTTTTAATTTGAATTTGTACTTAATTTGAATTTCATTTATCCTTTAAAGTTTTTATATTGACCTTTTTACTATCCTTTAAAATATCTTACATGTTATGAAATTTTAATTTTGAAATTCATAAGTTTTTTCATATTCTATAATTATATACGGAGTATTTTATATTCTTTAATTTTACAAGCTATCTAAAAAGTAAGATATCTAAAAAGTTAATTAAGTAAAAATAAGTATGTAGTATTTATAATCTTTTGTAACCTTTCTATTTGTTTATGGAAATTTTAATTTAATATTTTTGGGTCCATCAGAAGTCGACAGATGACAGTTCGGATTATTATAATCTGGTACTCTGTATTTCTTTTTTGATTGGCTGAACAGGTAGCCAGTCACGTCGATCATTATGTAAGGTGTTAGAGACAATTTCTTAATTTATTTTTGGAAACACGTTTCTTAATTTATTTTAGGAAACACAACCTAGTTGCCTTGGAGTTAGGATTTACTTCTCTATAAATACAAGCTCTCTCCCTTGTAATCATTGTGTGTGGATCCGAAAATAGCAATAATATTCCTGGATTGGTAGCGCCCCCAGACGTAACATAGTCATTCGTGGCGAACTGGGTTACCAAATTTCGCGTGTTCTTCGTTATTGATTTTCATGCGTGAATTAAATTTCTAACAATTGGTATCAGAGCCCTAGGTTCGAAGGGAGATCTCACGATGGCAGACAATTTGAAGACACCGTTGATGCAGTTTGACAGAACAGATTTTGGATTCTGGAAGTTGCAGATCGAAGATTACCTGTACGGTAAAGATCTGTATCAACCTTTGGATGATAAGCCGGAAGACATGAAGGAGAGCGATTGGAAGTTGCTGGAGAGAAAAGCGATGAGCGTGGTGCGATTATCGATGTCCAGAAACATCACCCTACACACCGTCAAAGCAAAAAACGACGAAGGAAATGTTGCAGATTTTATCGGATATGTACGAAAAACCATCCGCCGTGAACAATGTTCATCTGATGAGGCGTCTTTTTAACCTAAAGATGTCAGAAAGCACGGGAGTGGTGGATCATCTCAAGAGTTCAATGTGATCACCACACAGTTGAGTGCGGTTGAGATAAAATTCGATGACGAAATTCATGCCCTTATTCTGATGTCTTCTCTCCCGGAAAGCTGGAACGGAACGGTGACTGCAGTGAGCGCTTCGGCAGGGAAAGAGAAACTGAAAATCGATGAAGTCAGAAATCTGGTGGTCAGCGAAGAAATTTGTAGGAAGGAATCGGGCTTGGCTTCTGAATTGGCATTGAGTACAGAGAACCGGGGCAGAACGATGTCGAAGTCCAAGTCAAATCGAGATAGATCAAGATCCAAATCCAAGTCATACAGCAAGGGCAAGAAGGACAGAAGTCAGATCAAGTGCTGGAATTGTGAGGAGTACGGACACTTCAAGAGCCAGTGCAAGGAGCAGATCAAGGATCAGAAGGAGAAGATATCTGCCAATGCAGCGGCAGAATCATAGGGTGATGATCTCCCGATCCTGAGTGTGAGCAGTCCATTAGAGTCACAGGTTCTGGATTCTGGAGCCTCGTTCCATTCATGTGGTAATTCTGAAGTGATGAAACAGTATACTCTTGGCAATTTTGGAGAGGTGTATCTTACTGATGATGAGCCTCTTAAAATTGTCGAGAAGGGGACAATCCACGTGAAGACTCCGAACGGATGCATGCTGAAGCTGAATGGTGTCCGACACATTCCTGGTTTGAGGAGGAATCTTCTTTCAATTGGGCAGCTGGATGAGGAAGGTTATGCAGTTTCATTCGGCAGCAGAAATTGGAAGATCGCCAAGGGAGCTTGCTGGTTGCTAAGGGGAAGGAGGGTACGTTGTACATGACAACAAACTCGAAGGATTGCATCAATGTTGCTGTCGCTGCAACACACGATGTGAATTTGTGGCACTGTCGGCTTGGTCACATGAGCGAAAAGAGGATGAAGGAGCTGTGCTCGAAGGGCAAACTGCCCGGCTTGAAAACTGTTGAGGTTGGCTTATGCGAGGACTGCATATTCGGGAAGCCGAAACGTGTCAGTTTCTCAAAGGGAAGACGAGCTATCAAACCGGAGAAGCTGGAACTAGTTCATACCAACCTTTGGGGACCTGCTGAAGTTACATCCTTGGGAGGATCCGCTTACTACATGACCTTTATTGATGATGCCACAAGAAAGGTGTGAGTTTATTTTCTCAAAAATAAATCTGATGCCTTTGATGCTTTCAAGAGGTGGAAAGCTCGTGTTGAGACAGAGACAGGTGTGAAGTTGAAGTGCCTTCGGTCAGATAATGGAGGTGAGTATGAACTGCATGAGTTCAAGAATTTTTGTGCTGAGAATGGGGTTCGTATGGAGAAGACAACAAAGGGGACTCCGCATCATAATGGCGTAGCTGAACGCACGAACAGAACACTGAATGAGCGGGCAAGATGCATGAGGTTGAAGAGTGGCTTACCGAAGATGTTTTGGGCGGATGCAGTGAACACCGCGGCTTTTCTCATCAAAAGAAGTCCAACTAACGATCACGTTGGAGAATGGCATTTCTGAAGAAAGATGGACGGGTAAGGAGGTTAATCTGTCCTATCTCCGCATATTTGGTTGTGTTGCTTATGTTCATATTAGTTCCGTTGACCGAAGCAAGCTAGACACTAAATATGTCAAGTGTACGTCGTTGGCTATGGTGGTGATGACTATGGATACAGATTTCTGGGATGATCAGAATAAGAAGATTATTTGTAGTCGATATGTGGTGTTCAGAATGCAAGATGCAAAGGCAACAAGTGTACCGTTGGGTAGTCACTTCAAGCTTAGCAAGGAAGACTCACCGAAGAACAACGAGGAGCATGCTCAAATGTAGAATGTCCCATACGCATCGGCAATAAGTAGCATAATGTACGCGATGGTGTGCACAAGGTCAGACATTGCACATGCGGTGGGAGTAGTGAGCAGATTCATGGGAGACCGCGGGAAAGAACAGTGGGAAGTTGTGAAGTGGATCATGAGGTATTTGAAAGGTACTTGTTGGTCTTATGGGAGATCAGCACCACCCTTTGATTCAGGGCTTAACCGCCCAACCTGTTGGCACCACAAAGTGGTGCAGCCCCTCATGTCCATCCACCGCTCAGTAGTGGGGCTCTGCACTGCCGTAGTGAACTGTGGGGGGTGCCCCACAGGAATCTACCTTGACTTGGGGACTACAGAGTAATGGGTTAAATAGAGGGTGTCCACTTCCTTATCATCAATTGGTTTTAAGAAAGATATGGCTGCTATTTAACCACAGAACTCTGGAGTTAAGCGAGCCCGGGGTAAGAAAGCCCAAGGATGGGTGACCCACTGGGAAGTTTGTCGAAAAGGGGTGAATCGATCCAACAGTACTGCTTCTAATGCTTTGTGTTTTGATGGGAAGAATCAAGAATGTAGAGCTGCTGGGACATGTTGATGCAGACCTGGCATCGAATGACTCGGATGGATCGAGGAGCACCACCGGATATTGCACCAAGATTGTTGCATTATCTACCATTGAAGTTGGATATGTGGCCATTACGGAGGCAAGTAAGGAGATGGTGTGGCTTCAGAATTAACTTGGGAAGGAGTACAAGAATAACTATTAATTGCATTTTGGATGTGTGTGTATAGTCCGTGTTGTGAAGCGTTGAAAAGAATGAATGGTGAGGCATAGCTCCAACCCACATTTTTAATTAGGAGACGGATGGATTCGGTCGATCCATTAATGCATGACTTCTTTTTTCTTTGCATTCCACCTTCTTTCTCTCAACTTTCCTCCCAAGGTTGGCTTGACTTTGACCGCATGGAAGAAAGTCAAAATACAGAGCCGACAAGATATGTCGCCAGCAATGTTACCACTACCAAGTGGACAAACAACCTTTTCCATCACATTTTTTTTTATCTCCCCCACTCATGTTTTCTGCCTATAAATAAATACTTGTCCAAAGAATGGTCTTAACCATACCCACTGCCAAATTCTTATCCTCTTTAAAACCCCATCCTTTTGCGCTATCCTTCCTACTTCCTACGAAGGTTTCTCTTCTTTTTTGCTGCTATTATCAATAACTTGATTTCTAGGCAGAAGATTTTCAGTGGAAGATTTTTATATCTCGTTGAAGAGCTATGGAGTTTACTAGCTTCGTCGATACTTCATTGGGACTGAATGTGATGCCCATCAGAGTTCGCGAAAACGGGCCGGTATGTCAAAAGAGATCTAAATTCCTTTGGTATTTCCTAGTAGTAATGAAACTTGCCCAGAAATTGAAATATTGAAGTTCTTTTTTGTCTTAATTCTATTGGGTTTCAGAAACAACAAGTCCAAAGCAGTATCACTGGCTTGGGAAGGAACTCTGGAAACAATGATGAGGTGCGTCTACATTACTACATACATCTTTAACTCTGATCTTTTGGATTATGATTCAAAAGGAGTTATGAAATAATCTAAAAGATATACGTAGTGTATATATTCAAAAGTTTTTGACTTCAAGTCAACAAATGGGAACCAATCCAAGACCATTCAAATGGTAGTAAAGTTTGGGTTTTTATTTGTGAGCAGGAAGTCGAGGCGATGGAGGAGTTGAGAAAATTGAGTGAAGAGAACAAGAGGTTGAGTGAAGTGCTGATGGTGGTGTGTGAGAACTACAATGCGTTGAGGGAACAGGTGAGGGAGTACGTGAACAAGCAAAGCAGCAACAGCAATGGAGGTAGTAATAGCAGTGATGATCATCACAGCCATGTTGTTTTGGGATCAAGAAAGAGAAAAGCTGAGAGCAATAATCATGGCAGCAAAAAGAAAAAGCAGATCAACCAAAAGATGGATGGCCATAACTCTGAGAGCAGTTCAAGTGAGGAAAACTCTGCTGCAAACAAGTCACCCCCCTCAGCAAGGGATGTGGATGTGGGCCCCCACCTCCACCCCATCAATGCCAATTCCTCCAAAGTTTATGTAAAGACAGAAGCATCAGACACCAGCCTTGTAAGTCCTCTTTCTCTTTAAAGTTTATGTAAAGTTTACTCAACATCAACTTTAATCCTAACACTTTGGTATTGAATGGACAAGGAAATGACCAGAAAGTAATTTTGTGGGTGTTGCAGATTGTGAATGATGGGTATCAATGGAGGAAATATGGTCAGAAGGTAACAAGAGACAATCCTTGTCCAAGGGCTTACTTCAGATGCTCTTTTGCTCCTACCTGCCCAGTCAAGAAGAAGGTACTAAATCCTAGCTTTACAGCCAGTTTGCTAAGAGATTATACTTGGCTAAAATGGTTTTATGCCCTGAATTTGCTAAAGCAGCCCTATTCTTCTATAGGCTGCTTATTCTGCCTATAAGAAGAATAAAAGAAACCTATGCATAATTATAGTTATAAAAAGGGAAAGCATATTCTTGTTATTAGATCTCCTTGTAGGCTGCTAGTAAGTTGAGAAAGTGAACTGAATTATCTATCATTTGGTGATTTTGTGTTGATAGGTTCAAAGAAGCATAGAAGATCAGTCAATTTTGGTGGCGACATACGAAGGAGAGCACTATCACCACCCCCTCCCTTCGAAGCCAGCGGCTGTGGTCAGCCGTTCTTTGCCTCTCGTGGGTGGTGGCTGCGCCAGCCCCCTCAACTCCCAAGCACCAAACCCAGCCGTGCCCAAAACAGCACCATATGGTGCTAAGATATCAAGCCCGACGGAGAGGTTTATTCCGGCTGATAGACCGGAGTTTCAGAAGGTCTTGATCGAACAAATGGCCTCTTCCTTGACAAAAGACCCTTCCTTCAAAGCAGCTCTTGCAGCAGCCATTTCAGGAAAATTTCTCCAACACAATAGTGGCAGGGAGAGCTGGTGAAATATGTCCATAATACCAAATCAAGAAGAGATTATGTCACTTGGTGTTACTTGCCATTAGCCGATTCTTAGTCAAAATTAGAAGTAGTTCGATTGCCTTTTTTAGTCCTGCTTGGTGGCGAAATTTGAAACGTGCATGTATATACACTAGCAACTAGCATTGTTTATCATGGAGGGTCAACATGGGTGTTTGACCCTCTCTTTCGGCAAGAGGTTGAAAGTTCAAGGCCGAAATGCCTTTCTTTTGTACTGTAGCAGCCCTAGCAGTATTACACACGAAGTATAAGGATTCAAATTTCAAAGGAATCTGAACAACCTCACTTCAGCTCTATTTGACTTTTTTCTCGTGTTCTGTAGTTTGAATAGTTCCTTCCTACAATGTGCATCTTTTTCAACATATATATGACCTGCCTCACCAGTCATCATACAGAGGCAGAAGAAATGTAGAACATTGACTTGCCAAGTAGGTATGATTCAATAAGTAAATTTTAAGTACTTTACCTCATTTGATAGGTTTATGATTTTCATATCACGCTAACAACATTCCTCCATAACCAACAACGTCGATAATCCTAAATATTCGTTCTACTCCTGTCAATACATAAATATTATATTCAATCCGACAATTTAGTTTCTCCCTATAATCCACGTCAGAGCCAATATATCCGCCTTCTCAATAAGTTTTTGGATGAACAAAATCTTAATTATGTAGTTATAATCCTAATTATGTAGTTATAATTACGATGCTTGACCGACGATAAAGCAAACAGATCTCTATCCGCACTCAAATTATTTTTAGAAAAAAAATACATATTCAGAAACATCATTAAAGACTTTACAAAGTCACAAAAACCAGAATCAAATTTGATAAAAATTTGATATATAAATTAAGAGATTAAAATGATTTGGGTTGACCAAGTGAATAATGTCTGGGACAATATTATTTCAAAGAGGACGGAGAGAGTATTAATTTAGAGATAATTATACTCTAAAAAAGTACACATTTCAATGTATTAAATATAAAATTTCGTAAATATTTTTTCTTGATTTTTATTAAATTAACTAAAAATAAACAATATTTAATAATCTCACGTTGTAATCATTGTATTCAAATTTCAATTCCAACTCTCCTCATTTTGTCCACAAGTCATTGTTTTCAAATTTATCGTTTGAAACGAGAAAAAGTAACATTGGTCCAACTTATTACAGAGTTCAAATATGCAGACTCTAACGTTAGACTTCTCACAGTAATGACAGTACCATATACGTAGTATGAAAATAAAGTCACGTGTGTTCCCACTAACATATTTGAATCCCATGACTTTATTTCTAAGCTTGATAGTGTGAAGCTGTGAGCACATTAAATTGTGACTTCATTGATTATTTAGAGCTATTGCTGCATTTTTCATTTTTAAAAAAGTCTCTGAATCGGTCCGACCGTCATAGGTTCGCCAGTATACCAGCTGGTCCAACCAGTTTTTATTATCAAATTATACCCTTGAATACAATTATGAGATATTTTAACACTCACAAAATGACGAAATTTAGAACAAGGAGTAAAACGTTTTAGAACATCGAGAACTATAACAGAAGTTTCAACTTTCCAGGGCAAATGTGAATATGCACTTCGTTGAGTGACCAAAATTCCCAATTTAATCGAAAGGCATGGCCGTATCGGCGTATCCGCGTATACAACAATTTAAAAAATAATGAAATTTAATGTAGTAGTTCCCAAAAATAATGAAATATTCAGAGTATTGACTGAATATAGTAGTGGTTGCAATGTATTGACTGGTCATCATTAATTCATCTCATGATCATTTTTTTAATGTTATATGCTAGAACAAAGCGATAGAAAACTAACTCGGATATTCTATGCCGATTAATGTTAGCCGATCTCAAATTCTTTCGGGAATAGGGCTTGAATGTTGCTGCTAGTGTATATGCTAGAACATTTTAAAGGTAGTCAAAACTGTACAGAGCTCAAGGAACCGAAATTAGACTGAACAAAAAAAATTGGAGGACTTCCAAGGGTACCTGCATATCGTTCTCTATGCAGACAAATTCTACTTTACAATCTACAAAGAAATAAATGTAGTAGTCTCATAGTCATTTGTACACATGCTCGCCTCACCCTTCAAACTGTCTCCCACAGAAGGGCGGGCACAGGAAGCTGCCCTCTTATAATAAGTGTAAATTACAATGCATCTACTTAACAAAGCATACCTATGAGGATAAGCTCAAGTCATCAATAGCCCTTACTAGTCCCATCTCAGCTTCATCCTCCAGTTGTTTTATATGAGCATCAACTTTAAGACTGTCAACTTTGTTAATTGCATCAGCAGAAGCAGCTATACATTCCTGGAATCTGAAGCAACTGATGAGATGGTCATTTGTAATTCCAGCAGCCTGCATGAACGAGTAGATGACGGTGGGCCCAACTCCTCGGAAACCTCTTCTGACCAGGTCTTTGCTTATCATTTCAGCTTTGGATGTCTTGATTGGAACTTGTCGCTGATAGCGGTAATTACAGACCACAGGCTTGTTGTTTACGAAATCCCATATGTATTTGTTGAAGGACCCATGCTCATCAATTATCTGCATCACTTGTACAGTTTTAGAACCTCCATCATAATCAACTAATGCTTCATTAAACTGTAGAAGATGTACATTTTATCCTTTTGGAAATGATTATTCAAAAACAGAAGCAGATATGCTCACTTTACAAAATTGGCGTGCATTGTCAATAACTGCCCGGAGCTTTAACTCTGACAAAAGAGAGCTGGCTGGACCTCCTGGTGCTGCTATCTTCTTCTCATTTAGTTTTGAGACAGAAACAGGATCAAAGTTTTGAAACACTTCCCTGCATTTTGAATATAAAATTTAAAACATGGGCATGAAACTGAAACCGAAGATGTCGTGGGGCACAAGAAAAGGCAGTCCTTTTCTACTTGTCCAAATGAACACCACAAATAACCTGAATGTTTGCCTTCTGCTGAGAATGGTTGGCCATGTAAGTTCAGCCAATGCAGTGCACAAACTTAGCAGCTCAAATAGCTTCCTGCAAATTTCAATATAAAAAAAAACCAATAGGACTAATTGTAGACTTGTAAACTATGCAGGAATACACTCATAAAATCATGTGACAGTTGTGTACCTATCATCATGGACAGGAACTCCCCATTCCTCATCATGAAAAGTAGAATAGGATGGATCTGCTTGAAAGGGAATACACCAATTTGTTAAATTTTCTAAACTGTGTAAATAACTATTCAAACAGTGAAACTGATCAAAGGCAAGTGGCTCTATTACACAAAGGGAATTCCCAAAACAATAGATGAATAGAAGATGGAAATGCGAATAGATAAATCTGAAACATGATGAATAATGGATTCCTTTTAAAGGTAGAACAGACAAACAACCGCCATAATTTGGGGTGACAATTGAAAACAGAATTTACTTTTGCAGTTTGCACTATCCATTACAAAAAGTAAACATATAACAATGTTCTGGATTCAATCCATCCATTTATTTTACCAGTGATCTATTTTCTAATTTTCAAGATTTACTCGACAGAGAAAATGAAAAAAATGAAAGAGTCTTTGAATTTATTATAAATGCATTGGCCACGTTGTGCTGACTTAATCTTAACATGAGAGTCAAGGTTACTTAATTGTTGCCTGCACCACCACCAACCAATTGCGGAACTGTTAGCCGTGTAGACGGTGACATAGGTGATGACAATAAAAGACTGCATTTACCATCGGATTTGATTTGGAAGTGGGCAAATATTGACTACCACAGCACTTCAGATATGCAAAGGCAACTATTGGTTTCCTCATGCATTCACATCTGGACACTCAAGGTAGCTAATAGTTGCCTATGCTCATACACTCCGAGAAGGGACGTTTGGAAATGGTGATTGTTGCATGATGAATTGCTTCTATGAATGTTTTTTTAAATATTTGTAGACAACTATTTAACTTACAGAGCAATTTTATGGATGGATCAGATATCCATCTATAAAAAATAGTAACATGATGATTTGGATAATTTATTATAATAATATTAAGCATAATCATAGATGGATATGACTTTTAATAGATAAATGGATTATTTTTAATGCAACCATTATGGTTCAAGCACAAACCTATCTAAACCATCCATTTGAGAGACCTAATAATAAACAAACGTTGTCAAAGAAATGAACTCTAGAGCAAATGGTTAACAATTTATGAAGGGGTTTATGAAGTAACATTTGAAAAGAAAGAAGAGCTTAGATTGAAACATTAAGCACCCACAACAGGTACAAACTTATTGTGAAATGAATCACAAGCATGTCATGAACCAAATATCGTATTGAATTGTTAGCCATCACAGCATGAAAATATCCTAATAGCCACGTATTCCAGCCTATCACTAAGTAGCACATTAAGTTAGTGTCATCAACAGTAAGTCAGTAATAGACAAGAAAACAAGAGGTTCATCTTGGCTCACCAGCCTAATTCTTCTTTCAAGTCCTCATACATGTAGGGCAATGGTATAAAAGTGTAAGACTATAGATTAAAAAATGACAAGTATTCTTCTTTCTGAAAAAACTTGCTTGTCCTTAACTAAAATGCGGACAAATTTTAATTATAAATAATACTCCATACTATGTAGTAAAGGTGCCCACGCATATTTATAATGGTTTATAGTGCATAGAAATTTAGGCCCACTTAGCTCAGGGAAACATGAATAATACGTGATTTTTGCGTTTTCAAGAAGGCCTCGTTTTGTTGGATGGTTGGAGGGGAGATGGCAGATTTTTTTCTAGTAATTTATCACTAATTGTTAGTCTTGGACTATCAACGACTACATATATGTTCCGTTAGATTATGTGCTCCTGTATGATTATCCATCTACACTTTCTTTCCAAGTTCCAACCATCTAAATGTAACAATAAATTAGATTATGAATATCATCCCCACCATTCCATCTCCTTCAAAATCTCTGAATAAAAAAGCCCACATGGAGCTGAATTGAATGGGTATTTATCAATCCAAATAGGATTAATGACTATATAACAAACAACTCTGTCTATTCCTCACCAATATGTCTCACAAATCAAATCCAAGCAACACACTGCTAATGTATCAAACCATGATCAAGGAGAGTGGAGTTTACGTAAAAAGTAATCAATCAACTGTTTCATAACTAATGGATCAACTTCCTTTCACAACCACTCTCATAGAAGATGAATAAACATTACCAACTGCTTCAGTTTCTTTCAGTCCGATATAATTCCCAAAAACTAGAGGGATGTATGTACATACCCGTGTTAGATGTCACCCAAGAACATTTTTTCTTTGCTACAGAACCATCTTCTAAACTCACAGTCAAGCTCTCGGCTTCACAGGCAAGTTTACCATTACTCTCCAATTTTGAGCTGCATTGCTTCTTCCGAGCTGATGAAAGGGTCACACTCCGACTGCTAATTTTCCCGGTTGAGGCTCTGCTCTGAGAAGAATCAGAGGACGCATCGGATGAGCAAGAAGCACTCATCCACAGATTTGGCCTCATCCGAAACGACCTGTGCTCCTGGTGCTGCCTCAGAATTGAACCGGCACTCGCGCATTTCTTAGCCGCAGACCGCGATTTGGGCAGCTGATCCGCCTCCGCCTGCATTGCCTGGGACTTATCGTCAACTCTCTCCGCTGGCTTCTCCACCATGATGGCATTCAACTTCTCGGCGGGCTTCCGCAATTCCTCTGATCTCGCCTTGTTGCCAGCGGGACCAAGAACGGATCGGATCTCCGAATCGGCGGCATGGCTCATGTATTTTACCAGCGGGGGGCCCGACATTAACCAAATAGGCCCGGACCCACTTCGATTCGGGATAAAGTAGGGCTTTTATGGCTGGAGTAAAGGGAAGGCAAAGAGAGTGAGGACGCGGAAGGGAAGGTGCATTCTGAATTTGATGGTTCGAAGTGTAGAGGATCAAAACCCTAGAGAAGGAGCAAAATCTGCAAAGTGATGTTGAAGACTTGAAACTGAGTTAGTTTAGTTGACAGAAGTGAAGCAGGAAGCTGACGGTCTAACTGTAGGGGCCCTTCTCTGTACAATGTGTGGGTAGGAAACAAATACGTACCCGTATTTTGCAGACCACTTCCAGCTGAGCTGTGGGGTATCCAATTCTATCAAGGGATAGTCAAAACTACTCCGTAAGACTTGAGACTTTCCACTTAACCACTTCTATAGTTCTATCATTCCTCAATTTGAATTATTGTTTTTTAGAGTAATCGAATTGAATGATTTGAAAATGCGATTTACTGATTTATTATAAGATGAAAAATCGACACATTTATTACTAATTATCTTTTCAATTTAACAAACATAACACCTTAATTTTTCTCAAAAAATATTTTCTCACATTGTTGTGAACTTCATATTTTCAACTTGTGTTTTTTACTTGATAAGAAAACGCAGTTTCTTTATTCCTTGATATAAATCCTAATTTATAACTTCAGTTTTCAAATTGAATTGTTGTGGGTTGGGCATGGGGCAAGGACAACAATGATGGTCACGGGATGACTAAGGTTTAAGGGCCTGTTTACTTTGGACTTAATGAGCTTAATAGAAATTTGGACTTATTCGCTCAGCCATATAATGGTGTTTACTTGTGACTTAATGAAAATGAGGACTTATTCGCGCAGACATTTTAGGACTTATTGGCTCAGCCCAATTTTAATACTCCTTACCATTCAGACCTAACTTTACAGCCCGATTCTCTTTTATAACCCTTGCGTATACTTCACCGCTGTGGCACATCACTTCTGCGACTCTGCGAGCTTCACAAATCGGCGACCTACGAAGACCAATCAGCCAACCAACGAACTTCACCTTGGTATTTCCTTGGATTTCTTATCTGCTTTTATATTTTTCTTTCTCTCTTTCTTAGATTGCAGCCTTCCCCTTCTTCAGTATTGTCCAGTTATTAAACTTCAATCTACTTTCGGTGTATGGTAAAATGAGAAATAGATTATAGATGACCGCAACATCTGGAACCCACTGCTGTACTACAACTTGAAACAGCCATTGTGTGGATTTAGGTGTAAAAGTTAGAATACTATTAGCATGTGGAAACAAACTTTAACATATTTTTCCTAAAAATAGATTACCTTGAAATGGCCGATGAGTGCAGTAGCTTATCCACTAGATATTTAATTTTGTCATTGATACTTTGATAGGGCCGAAGTAGACTGTGGGGGGGGGGGGGGGGGGGGGACTTTCTGCTTTGTGAAATTAAAATTTGGATACTGCTTAACATTATGAAATTAAAATTTGGATACTGATTTAGGAAAGGGGAGCAACTAATACTTTTAGTTTTGCCCAAATTGTAATTACAAAATCAGTTAGAAAAAGTTAGCTTTGCCCTTTATAATGATGATGAAGTAGGTCTCTTGAAACTACTTTAATTTTTTATTTGTTGTTGGATATCTTACGGTATTAACCTTTGTAATTACACTTTTTAGAAGAATTTTACTTCTTTCAAGAATTTTAGAGTTATTGCTACATACTTATCTCATTCTTTAGGTATGGAAGACGGTGGCGAATCCGAAAAACAAAAAAGGTGTAGGATAAGTTGGAAAAACATGAATGTGGTCAAAACTTTTCTTGAGACTTGCATTCAAGAAATTTCGATAAATGGGCGTGAAGGGAGTAGTCTCAAAGCACTTTCATGGAAGAAAGTCACTGAGGTTTTAAAAAGTACTCATAACTTTTCTGTGGATCGCAAGCAAATGAAAAATCATTATGATTATCTTAAGGGAAAGTATGGAGCCTGGTTACTACTAAAAAATAAAACAGGCAATGTTTACGATCCGTCTACCAACACCTTTAATCTTACATCTGAGGAATGGGCTATCGAAATTAAGGTAATCTTTTTCAATAGATTCATATTTGTGTTTCATTATCATTGAATCCTATAGTCTAAAAACATCTTAAATACAGAAAAATAAGTACGTAGAGACTTTGAAGACTACTTCACTTCCATTCCCCGAACTTTGTGCACAACTCTTTGATGGATCTGTTGCTACGGGTGCTGAAGGTTGGGGTCCCAGTGCAGTTGAACCAATGTCACATGGACATACTTCAACAGAAAACACTCCATCTCAAAGTCCCTTTGTGGTTGAAGATGAAGATGAAGTCCAAGGTGGACAATCTGTGTCAACATCAATTGCACAATGTTCAACCCACAAAAAAGTTAAAAAACTGAAGAATAAGGGCAAACAAGTCACTTCAGCTATTGATGATGTAATTTTGAGTGCTATTCGTATAGTTGCCGCAAAACAAGCAAAGCCCGAATCACCTCCAAAAGTGGCACCACCTACATTTGATGATTGCATCAATAAGCTCAAAACTCTTGGATGGGAAGGAGATGACCCATTATATGGTGTTGCACTAGCAATTTTTTGTGATCCAAATGACCTGTATCGGGAGGCTTGGATGAAAATTGAACCAGTGCATCTTCCAAACTGGGTCCAAATGATTGGAAAAAAATTAGGATTCATGTAATATTTTCATTGTGCTATTTGAATGACTATTTGTGTTTGTGTTTACATGTAATGCTTGGATATTAGTATGACTTTTATGTGCTATTTGCGAACATTGTAATGTTTTTTGTGACATCTAAATGAACATGATGAAACTAATCTTATCCACCATCTAATGTGTGTTTTTTGTAAGGTCAATATGGACCTTCAGGAGCAACTTCTATTCCTACTGCTTGTATATTATTATGTGAGGCGAAGAAATTCCATGACACGTATACAAAGAATGCGAGATAACAATTCTGCATTAAGTGGGCATGCATACACACAAGAATTATTAGATGGTTCTAATACACAAATTGCAGAATTGATGCGTGTCTCACATGCTGGATATGTATTGTTATGCAACCATTTCAGACAACGAAATTGGTTGGAAGATAGTAGGCATATAAGTGTGGAGGAAAAGATGGCAATGTTTTTAGCAACCATTTCACATGATCAACGATTTAGAGTGCAAAAACGGAGATTTCAACACTCCACAAGAACCGTTCATAAATGCTTTCATGAAGTGCTACAAGGAATGATGAAACTTGCAAAAGAAATGATAGTACCAACAAGCTCTGAAATGAACCCAAATATGTCAAACCGGCAAAAGCGACTACGAGAAATTTTTCCGGTATGTTCTAACTCCATTTGTTGTTAATATTTATTATTCAAGATTTTTTCAAGTGTTATATATATGTGTGTGTGTGTGTGTTTATATATGTGTGTGTGTGTTTATGAAGGGAGTGTTAGGGGCATTAGATGGAACTCTTGTGCATGCGATTGTACCTGCTGAAAAGCAAACTATGTACAGAGGAAGAGGAAGAGGTCGATGTTACCAGAACGTTTTAAGTATTTGTGACTTCAATATGGTGTTCACTTTTGTTTGGGCCGGTTGGGAAGGAATAGCACATGATTCACGAGTATTAACCCAAGTTGTATTTGACCCAAATTCTGGTTTTCCCTTTCCTCCACCAGGTGTGTATCATTCCCAAATGTGCTTTCTAGTTTTTGTAATTACTATGTAAAATTTATAACACTTACAAAATGCATGTTACAGATAAATACTACCTTTGTGATGCTGCATATTCGAACACTCGAGGTTTCTTGGCTCCATACCGTAACACAAGGTATTGGTTATCAGATTTCCAACGCAGACGTGCATTGACTAAACAAGAAAGATTTAATCACGCACATGCACAACTTCGAAATGTTATTGAACGTACTTATGGTGTGCTGAAAGCAAGATTTCCTATCTTAGACAAGATGGCTCCTTATCCATTTCCGATTCAAAGAGATGTGGTGATTGCTTGTTGTGCTGTTCATAATTTTATAAGAAAATGCAACATTCAAGATGACCTATTTGAGGAGTGGGATGATGAGGATATATTTAACAATGAAGGAGGACAAAGTCAAGATAGCGGAGAAGAAATAGATGGAACACAATGGGGTACCCAGAGCATTCAATATATGACGAATTTGCGGGAAGAAATTGCTAATAAATTAGTAGGAAATGTTTAAATTAAATATGTTGTCGTAATACTCTTGAACTTGTTTGGTTGTTTTGTGAACTTGTTTGCTCAGCAATTTAATATTATAATAAATTTTATGCAATAACAATGTTATCCAGATTAGTTAGAGTAAACAGACATTATAGTTTCAGCACTTGTTACAGGCAGAAGGATAAATTCGTAAAATTACATAATTCAGACTATACATTCAGCACACATAGTAAACAGCTTGTTATACCAGTGGCACTTATTCCAGACAGACGTCTTAATGCAGACAGACGTCTTAATCCAGACAGGACTTAATAGAAAAAAAAGTAAACAGGCCCTAAGTGATGTTGTGGACGGAGGCCTAAGTTTCACTAACATCAAGGGCGGTGGGTAGGGTTCCAATGACGTCCTTGGCGGCTATGGTTTCAATGACATCGTGGGAGGCGTAAGGTGAAGTCCTTGCATTAGGGTGTCTTTTATTGTTAGTCACTGAGTGGTGTCTCAAGAGAAACTATCTTGGGCAGCATAAAATCGCTAGACATAAATTTCACTATATGTGTTGATAAAGTCACTATACGTGTCAATAGAGTCATTGTACGGAGAAGTCTCACTACGTGTAGGCGCGTTATAAAGTAGTAAGAACTACTCTGTACTACTTAAATTTATTCCTTTAAGTGTGGTGCCCCGAATAGAAAAAAAAATGCCTCAATTACTTTTCATACAAGGAGGATGTCATCCGATTTATTATAAAAAATAATTACCATAATCTTTATAAATTAATGGACACTCGATCTTATACTTATGAAAATTGAACTAATAAAACTATAAGTAAAACATGGAATATTATATCACCATTTTCATTCTCTGAATGATACTAGTTACTCCTAATGAATGTATTCAGTACTTAACACACATGCAAATCAAGTCATGGATTAATTACTTCAAAAAATAAAGAAGTGAAGAGCAATTTAAAATATAAGACTCTTTATTGTGAAAAGGTGTTTTAGATTTCTATTAATAATTACTACGTACTATTTTATAGTGATATATGAAAAAAATGTCCAAAAAATATTATACAAGAGTTAACCCAATTTTTACTTTATTCAATATATACAATTTTTAAATGTATAAGAAGTGTAAATACAAAATGATATGTTCTTGATTTTTTACTAATCCGTGTTAGATTTAGTATGTAACATGTTTATAAAAGTGATTTAAAAAACTTTCGCCTACTCAAGCCTATGCTTTGACAGTCAACTCTTCAGTTGACCGCTTTTATCATGTCTTTCTATCATGCAGGGCATTTTCCTGTCGCCTCATGCCAAGGCGCGCCTAGGACCTACATTTTGCCGCTTTTTGCCTTTTAGGATGTGTTTTCTCGTATATTATACTCTGTAGAATTGTATTATTGAGCTAACTTTGTTATTAAAAAACAGAATTTGCGTTAAATATATACATTGATTTATTTGTATCGTATCTGATAATGTAACGTGTGCCTTCAATGACAAAACTTTTTGGATCCGCCCCTATGACGGAGTTCATGTATGCGTCATGATGAAGTCACTGAAATTTAAGTTCGTTATTTCGTGGTCACAAACGGCTACCCGGCGCGGCGGCGGCAGTCATTGGGGTGGTTAGAAGGCGTTAATAATTTATTAGTTGTGAAAATGGAATATCATGATATAATAAATTTAATATTAAAAAGGGCATGAAATATGGTACGTCCCATAACTTTTGATTTCACGCGCTAAATTGTGTATAAAGAGTAGTGGGAAAGTAATGTTGAGGTGGTTTTTGTGACTGTATTGACTGAACTTACCGTAGATAATCATCTGAGCTATTTTTCATATAAGTTTTATTTATTTATTTATTAATAGAATATATTTTAAATATAATCTTAAAAACTTATAATTGTCAATGAAGGTTAGGGTATTTTAGGGATAGTAAAAATGTTGGTGTAATCATCCAGCTTTAAGAGGTTGTACCATGTGTTCTACTGTGTGTACTCTCTCAAAGGAATCGATTTTCCCGTTTACTTTCCGTCACATAACTCCTGTCTATTCCATTGTCTTCTTATCAGCCCTTCATTTTCGACATCCCGCTCATTAATCGGACCCTAGCCCTGTTAAGACGCGGGTGGTCTCCTACGCGGCCTAGCCTCAACGAAGTGCCTCCCGTGGTTTCCGTCTTCTCACACCCGTGCCATTTGAGCGCAAGTTGAGAGTTCCTCTCTCCCTGGATATCTGACCTTGGTTCTTGCGTGCCATGGGGCTTACTACCATTGTTTGTATTTGTGCGTTCTGAGTCCGGTTTGTTCTGTTTATTGGTCGGGAATTGTTCCTTAACCCATTTCAGACTTTCGATTCCAAATTGGAAGGAAGATATACTGTCAAAAACTCAGAAAAAACGAGCTCTTTATCACGGATTTTACTGCTGACTTTGTATTTGAGTTTGGGTTTGCGTTTCGAATTTGACAATTGTTTCAACGATTTGAGTCTGGTTTTGTGTTCTCCATCACTGGAGTACTAGACGCACCTCCAATATTGTTTTCCGGAGAGTGGAGACGGTTAGAATCCGGAAAACCACTTTCACAAGTGAGTGGTTTTACTGTCACACCTGCATATTCACGTTTTCTTCGCTCTTGACCTCTGAAATCGAATTTCTGAAAATGGATCGAGAGTCGTCAGGCACTGGTGAGCTGTTGGAAACGGAGATTTATATATATCGTGTTGGTTAATTCTAGCCTAAACAGGGGATACATTGCTGCACTTCCTGCTAAGCTACTGCTGTAATGGCAAGGAAGAAACAATCTTCTGGTGAATCCTCGACGTGACTAACCATGTCCCGATTTGCTATTCTTGAAGAAAGTGATGAGGAGTTCCCAGCTCTTCCTGTTGTTGGTAGTGCACGGGTTTGTAGCTTTTCCAAACATCCTGGACGGGCTGCTGGGATTGCTGGTATTGAAGTCCCTAGAGCTGGACAAGTTACAGGGACTGCTAGGAAGAATGTTTTCAGCGTTGAAATTGAATTGTCGGAACCTGGGAAAGCCTTGATGGTTGAATGTATTGCTGGGATGGTTCTGGAGGTTAAAAATCATAGGGTACCTGATACTCCAGTGACAGTTGGGGATAAAGAAATCCAGAAACCTTGGTCTTCACAGTTGGAGAGTACTAGATTGTTGAATAATTTGGTTTTGTTGGATCCGCCCCCAATTGATACACCGCAAGCTTGCCAAGTTGAGTCCTCTGTTGTTGAGGTTCACCTTGAACATGCCCAGATTGAGCCAAAGAATTTGGATGCTCAAGTGCGGATTTTGGGAATTGTTGGAAGGATAGATGAAAACCCCCAGCCAAGACCATAAAAAAAATTGTTTTGGTATAGATTGTATGTTTATTTTTAGGAATAAAAATTGCTAATGAAATCTAACTCTTAATTAAGTTGCTCGTACATCATTTACTCAAACAAAAATTTCCAATGGTGAGAAATACGAACATAGAAAGCCAGTGGCTGACTAATGTGATAGATTGCTATTTAGAAAGCCAGTGGCTGAGTAATGTGATAGATTGCTATTTGTGTTCTTATTGAAGCACTAGATTTTGTATATTTTATCACTAAATCTATCGAATGAGTCAATGGTTAAGTTATTTTTTTAAATCAAAGTCTCTTTTTATCATGTGATTCTTCCTTATAGACTTATATATTGAATGTATTATAATGTGTTTTTGTATTAACCAGAGGTTCTGGTCAATGCTTTTGTATTAATTTTAGATACTTGGGTTGTAGAGTTTTAATCGTGGTTTCCATATATCACTAATCAGGGATGGACAATGTTCAGATTCTGATACTGGACTGGGACTGGCCAGTTTTCAAACCGGGGGCGAAAATTAAGGTTCAAGGACGGGACTAAGAGTTGGGGGTTAAAGTGGGGCAGATCCCGGCCACACTTTTTTGGGTTGGGATCAGCCGATCCGGTCCTTTTTTTTTGCATTACTACAATCATGAATCAACCTAAAAAGGTTGGGGGTTATTTAAAAATGAAAAGGGCGAGAAGGGTTGGAAGGTTTAAAACAAAAGAATAAAAAATATTAATTACGAACAACCGAGACCGGCAAGTGAATGGGCTGGAAATATACATCCCGGGTCTGTCAATTTTTCAGAACCATCAGGTCGGAGGGTTGGAGGCTGGAGCCTTCGTGTCCATACTTACGATACATGAGTGGCTAATTTTGCCTTCGATATTGTTTTGATAGAGGATTGTACACATATAGTGTTTGCATCAACAATTTTGTATGCATCCTTGTAAATTTTACAATAGTATATAACTATTCAATGTTTCCCTTGTGTAATCTATTAACATATTCTTATATTATAGCTACAACAATCAACTGGGCATTTTCACATCGCGCAACGCGCGTCCTATAACTAGTTTTTTCATAAATAAGCAGAACCTGCCGATCCAACTACTGAAAGTCTGAAACTTAATATGGATGTTCCCGTACGTATCGGATCCACGTATCCATATTCATTTAGATTTCACCCTGTAATGATGTAATGAACCTTGTTATGTAATTAGTACTACATATTATGATTCAAATACAATGTTTGGTATGCTATTTTATTTTAAATTGTAATGTAATAAGCATTGCACATGTGGAATTCATTACATTCATAGGTGTAATAAGCTTTACATTGAAAAAGTTATGTATTTAAGATTACCCATTATAGAGTATTTCGAGATGACTGAAACCTACATCATTTACTTCCACCTAGGGGTGGACTTGTTCGGGTCAGCCCAACTTGGGACCGACCCGACACTGTTGTGGCCCGACCTGGTCCGATTAATCGAGTCCGGGACTGAGGCCCAAACCGGTCATATGAAAGGGCGGGCCCCGGGATCCAAAAATGGTAGACCGGCCCGGGCCAGGTCCGGGCACAATTTTTATGTTTTTATTTTTTCCCATTATAATTAATTCGAAAAGATAAAAAAAAATATTTCCCGACCCGGCCCGGTACCGATACAAACACGGGCCAGGGCCGGGCCCGAATAATTTTGACCCTGAGCCCGCTCTAGCCCGACCCTGAGCCCGGCTTGACCCCAGCCCAGTGCACTTTTACTTCCACCCCCATCCAGACATAACTTTGAGATAACATAAAACGTACGCAGTGTATTAGTTTGGTTTTCTTTTATTGGCTCTCACAAGAAAACAAATACGGAGTAAATTAGTACGTTGTAGTATGAGAACACAAAAAAGAAGATTTTGAAAGTAAATGTGATAAAATAAGTTGAAGTTTTTAAAAATAGAAAAAAGTGATTATAAAAAGTACGCAGTAATAAAAAAGAGAATGGATAATGTAGGACTGAAGATAACCTAAAATGCACATATAGGACTACTATGTTTTAAACCCTCTAAAATAGGATTAAACATTGATTTCTACCCTAAATACCCCAAGGGTATTACTTCATAATGAATTTTTTTAATTCATAATAAATCTTAAATAATAATAAAAAATCGCAAAAAATATAAAAAATTGTAAACAAATAGTAAAAAATAATAAAAATATTTATACAATAAAATTTAAAAAATATTGTTTTGAATTTTTTAAAAAATAATAAAAAATAGTAAAAACCCATAAAAATTTATGGATACCTTTCCCACCGCCTTCCAGCATCACCACCCCCGATTAGTGAAAATTCTTCCATTTTTTGTAAAAAATGTCATTTTCCTCGAAAGTGCCAAGAAAATGACATTATTATTCTTCATAATGCCAAAATTCTCATTGAATCTATCATTATTATGGCATCACTAAAAATGTTGACAAATTTCTAATAGGTGATGACAGATTACTAAAAATGCTGCCAGAGGTGGAGGAGTTTTTTTACATTTTTAATTTTTTAATTTTGTGTTTTTTTAAAATAACTTTTTTATTTTATAAATATCTTATAATTTTTTGTTATTTTCTAAGTTTATTATTATTATTATTATTATTTTTAAAGTTTTTTTTAATGATTTTATTATTAAATAAAACATTTTAAAAGCTACAAGAGTATATTATTCCAAACACACATAAATAGCCCTATTGGGGGGAATTTAAAAGATTTAGTCCTATTTGAACTCTTAGACCATTTTTTTTTGTCCTATTTAGGTAATTCACTCAAAGGGTAAAACAAGTATTAAACATAATTGCTCTCTCTGTCCCGAAAAACATCACCAAATTAACATTCTCTATCAATGAAAATCAACTTTGATCAATGATATTTTTTAATATGAAATTATTTTGAATATAGAAATTATATCAAAATATACCTTATTGAAAATATTTTCACAAAGGTATACAATTTATAAATTATATACAAATATAATAATTAAAATTGATGTTTAAAGTTTTTTATCATAAAACAAAAAAGTTAATATGACAAACCTTTTCAGGAAGCAAATAGTATCTTTTCATTGAATTAGAGCACACAACACACACATCTCTCTAGACCGTAAAATCATATATGCACAAAAGAAGAAAACGCCCAAATGGAAGAATAGAGGATGCAACAATGGGCATTACAAAGTTTTGCATTACAAAACTAAACTAAGAAGCTGTTCCGTTCACCTGATCTGAATGTTTCTGATCTGAATTTTTTAAGTTCTGATCTGATCTGATCTGAATTTTTCTGATCTGATCTGATCTGATCTGAATCTTTCTGATCTGATCTGATCTGATCTGAATCTTTCTGATCTGATCTGAATCTTTCTGATCTGATCTGAATGTTGCTGAACTGATCTGAATGTTGCTGATCTGATCTGAATGTTTCTGATCTGATCTGAATTCTTCTGATCTGAATCTTTCTGATCTGATTTGAATATTTCTATAATTGTAATTGTAATTACAATTATAATTATTAGATTTATAATTGTAATTAAAAATATAACTTAAATAAAATTACAATTATAATCATAATTATAAAAAATAATAATTAAAATTAAATTTAAAATTATAATAATTATACCAATTACACTAATTATAAATACAGATACAATTATAAATGTAATTATATTTTTAATTATGATTAATTTTATAAATATTATTATTGTAATTATAATTATAATATTTATTTCTATAGTCATAATTATGTCTATAATTACTAATTTAAATATATAATTACTCCGAAGTAATAATAATTACAACAATAACAACAAGAACAACAATCATATTAATAATAATGATGATTATAATTATAATTACATTGTAAATCATAATTATAATTATAAATATATTATATTATATTATATTATATTATATTATATTATATTATATTATATTATATTATATTATATTATATTATATTATATTATATTATATTATATTATATTATATTATATTATATTATATTATATTATATTATATTATATTATATTATATTATATTATATTATATTATATTATATTATATTATATTATATTATATTATATTATATTATATTATATTATATTATATTATATTATATTATTATAATATAAAAATTTTATATTATTAACATTATTATTATATTATTATTAATAATATTATTATATTAATATATTAATATTATTAACAATAACTATAATATAATAATCATAATTAATATAATAATAAAAGTGATAAATCATGTTTGAATTTTTTGACCTGATCTGATCTGAATGTTTCTGATCTGATCTGAATGTTTCTGATCTGGTCTGATCTGGTCTGAATGTTTCTGATCTGATCTGAATGTTGCTGATCTGATCTGAATCTTTCTGATCTGATCTGAATGTTTCTGATCTGATCTGAATCTTTCTGATCTGATCTGAATCTTTCTGATCTGATCTAATCTGATCTGAATAAAATAAGATTAAGGAATAAGTAATAAGATTAAGACGAACGGAACAGTTTCTAAATTAGACAACCAAATATCCCATTAGACGCCCCAAAGGTGAAACAAAGGATTTCTTTATCCATAGTAATCTCGAAAACGGATGAGGATTTCCCTCCACGCTTTTGCCAGCAACCAAAGCAGTGATGGCGATGTCAGTTCGTGCAGCCGCCTCATCTCCTTCCGCGGTTGGAGCTCCGTTCAAAAATGTCCGTTTTTCGTCGTCTCTCACCCCATTTCCTTGCCTGCGTCCCCAAACCTATCAAAGTTCACTTCCTTCACAGCTCAAATTGACGCAGTGCGCCAAGAAAGAGATAAAAGCCACCGACCCCAAGCTTGGAGTTGCACTTTACAAGCCGAGGTCTTACGATGCCTTGGTATCTGACGCCGCCAATTCCCTCTCTTACGCTCTAAGCGACGGGAAGACTCGCTTAGAAATCGAATTCCCGTAATTCTCATTTCGCTTCTTCTTTACTCTATTATTATTTACCCAAAAAGTTCTATGTTTTCTATTTGTATATGTTGTTTTAATCTTCATGTATTCTTCATTTCTATCTCCATTTTGTATAGTCTAATTGGCTTTACATACTTGAGAGCGCTATTGGATCAGGCGGACTATACTAAACAGATAACTATGAATTCATCATAATCACGCGTACCCCTAGTCTCTTTTTGGGACTAAGGCTGGGGTGTTATGGTTGTTGTTGTTGTTGTGGAACGGGAACAAATTCTTTCAGATGAACTCTTTTTAGAAACTAAGAGAAGGGTATTTGTATTATATGTTTGGCTATACTTTGATGCAAAGAAACTTTTTTTTTTTGGTTCCTTCTGCTATTTGGCGCAGTCAAGGAAAATATTTTTTTAATCACAAATTCATTCATACCATATTCATGCGCGCCAAAGGCAGCCTTAAATTCCCTTCATTTGTTTCTTTCCATGTTACACTGATTGTCATTTTCTCAACTACCAAGCTTTCATTCTTGACTTCACCACTTCTTTGGTTTTATTTTTATGTTTCAACTCTCCAATGGTTGCATCCTCAGTCCCTTGCCCAGCAATATTTCATCATATAAGGTAAAATATCAAGTTTAACATTTTGACAGTCAACTAATCATGTGACTTTAATATAAAATGTATATGCCTTGCTGGCCATGGCTTATGCAATTTTTTATTTCGTTCATAGAAACCTCGTGATTGAGACAAAAGCTTCACATTTGCATGACATTTTTGAGTTCATGAATATGTGAAGGGATCATCAGATGAGTTTAGCGATGCCAACATTCAACTTGCTTTGGCTCTTGTCAAGAAGCTTCAAGAGATGAAGGAAATACAGGCTTGCATTGTAAGAGAAACTTATTAATGTTTTTTATTTCACTCAATGAGATGATTTTAGCTCTTATAAAGTTGATTACTTTGAAGGTTTTTGCTGATAAGCCAGAGAAGCGTAGGGCATTAACTCTTCTCAGAACAGCTTTTGACTCGGTAAAACGGAACATTTCTATTAAGTTTTTAAGGTTACTATTATTATTATTATTAATGTTGTTATCGTCTGTGTCATCTCTATAATCATATTTAAAAATGAAACTTGACTTTCATTGTAATATTTTGCCTGAATACGTTGTGAATAGGACTGAGCTACTGACTACCTTAGGAAAATATTTTGGAAAGAAAAATATCTTCGGCAATAAACTATTGTTATTTGGATAAAAAGTTACATTCAACTTTCAATTCAATATCTAAATAAACATTAATCTTAAGAAAATATTTTATGAAGACATGAAATCTTCAGCAACACAACTAATCTTATATGGATGAGAAAGACGTACATTCATCTTTCAATACCGAGATAAACATAGTGAAAATGATTTATCATGCAAGAAATATGACTCACAAATGTTTTTCCACACATGAAATCACAAGAAGTATTTGAGATTAAGTTAAAAAACGATATGTCAATGCGACTATTTGAATTCAGAGATACCTTAATATCTTTTTAGGTTAAATGAGATCTTACAAGACTATTCATTTGCGTATGAGATGAACGGCTATGTCTGGCAAGCCAAATCAGCTCAAAATGGGCTGAAATAATTCATATTCAGTCAATTATTTTAAAAATAACCCTGTTTGGTAAAACAACTTAAGTGAGCTGGATCTGAAATAATAGAACTGAATTGGAACGTTACCCACCTTAGCGTTTTCATTCAGCCTATCATATATTTTATTTACGTTCCCAAATTGTCCTCTGGTTCCCGTCTTTCTTTCTCCTCAGCTATTATTTCTTTCTCGCGGATTTCAATTTCTGGATTTCTTCTTCGTTCTTTGGAATATTAATGATGTAAGAGCGATGGTGGGAACCCATGGACGAATATAGTGTGAATTTATGGAGTTGTGTTGCCTTGTGTTTGCTTTTTTGCTATAATTGACATACATGAAGATGAATAACTTAATTTCCGTGTGGGCTGGGAGCGAGGGAGGACTACAAATGATTAATTGTGCGCCGGCGCAGTGAGTCCAACCCTGCAGGTAAGAAAGGAGCGAGCAGTGTAGATCTCAGGGCCACAAGTGGAGATGGCGGCTGCTACCGGCCAGGGACGTCGGAAGAAGAGACAAGCTACGACCAGCCATATTAAAATCATAAATATTATATTCTCTTAATAAATGATATGTCTTTTAATGTAATTTCATATTATCCAACACTTTTTCAGCTTTTTCTACCAAACGGGTCTACTCTATTCGGCTAGCAATTCAGATCCAGCACTTCAAAGTTCAGTTCCAGCTCCAGCTCGTTGTGCCAAACATAGCCGTTGTGTAATTAAAAATTTGCATAGGAGAAAATATTATCCAGACTTTTTCCAGTGAAGATATTGTTGGGTAGTCCGCAATTCATAGCTCCCTAGCATGCCTGAAACAACATCATCACATTGAAGTGGCGAGAAGTTGAAGATCTTCTCTCTAAATGTGATCTTCAGATTTCAAAATATTACTATTTTCAGAATAGAAGCAGGGAAGAAGGATTCTTTTTGTGTGGGACCCATAAAAGTATTATATTTCTCTTCACATTTCTAACCAAGCAAATGAAGACAAAACCTAACTTTTGTTTCCCTTCTACTTCTCCCCGACCCTTTTCAATCGAAACCCTATTAATCTACTCACTTTCGCCCCTCTCATAGTGCTTTCTTTCCTACGTCTGTCTTATCATAGTAAAGCCTATGCACACCCATAATCGTCCATTTGGTCCATTGACAAAAAATGTAGTAGGGCATTGATTTTTTTGTGAGCATTTTTTTTTTTTTTATTACAAGGGACAATGTTATCTGGTCTTCTATATTTGTAGTGTAATGCAAAAGCATTGTGGCAGGCATATGCTTCCACTAAATAGGGGCATATCCCTTCACTGCTTAGTTTCTACTTACTAGATCTTCCCCCGACAAATGCACACAAATAGAAAGGTCAACATCCAAAGCCCAGAGGAACCAAGTGCTCTAATAGCCTCAAGGTGTCAAATCCTAAGAGAAGTGCATGAGTTTAGATACATCCCTCACAACTTGCTTTTGAATTGACTGTGTTGTTTTCTTACATGTTTAGAGCTTTCCGATTTAATATGTTTTCCTAAGCCAATTGCGAGTGGCCTGTTTGAGAACATTTGACCATGTGTAAATATATTTTGATGTCAAGTAGTGATAAACTTTCAGTGTCTATTAATGTACTTTTTCAGATTGATTGTTTAACAATTGGGACCTTGGATGATGTACCTGTTGGTCCTGTGAAAGCATTTTTCAGATCAGTGAGTCGAACTTTGGATTTTGATTTTGAGGATGAAAATGAAGGTTTGGTTCTCCTTGTTCCAGAACGTCTCATAGATAACTGTGACAAGCTTAACATCTCACCAACCATTTGTCAATAATGCAGATCGGTGGCACTCTGAAAAGCCACCATCACTGTATATATTTATCAACTGCAGCACGGGTGATCTCTCTTCCATAGAGAAGTATGTGGTATGATGCTTTGCACTACTTGTGCTGTAAGGATTTTACATGTTATCCAAATGCTTTAGGTGTCACGCTTTTGACCATTGTTTTGGACAACTGATCCTCCCTTAATTGCTCTCCGATGACTGGCAATTGATTTATCCAGTTGAAATAACAAAATCAACTCAAATCCCCTTACTCAATATAAGCTATCAGCAATATTGAAAAAAATCTAAGTTAACATTGTCTTCCCTTGAATTTTGTTTAAAGTTTACACTTCATTGATTCAATCATATCTCATACTATGCAATATATTTTTATGATGAAATAATTACGCATTTACGCCTCTAAAATAGGGTGAACACCATGGGGTAAGGTGTTTTTTTTAATTAGCCATACCAGAATAAAAAAAAGAGGGGGTCCAAAATATTTTACACAATAAAATTTAATGAAATGAAAAAATTGCTGAGGGACAAAGAGTCCCTGTGACTCCCTACTCATTATTCGAAGTGTTACATACTCATTAAACTCTTTAAAATTATTGTATCTATCCTTACTACTTTACTAGTTCAAATTAGGTGTTGTTATGCCCTTATGAAATTTTAACTCCAATTCAAGTTAGTGCTTCATGTCCTTCAGACTTCAACTAAATTTCCATTAAATGGTAGGATGTCATATCTTGCTCGCTACTCTAGTTTTCAGTGGAGACATGCTTTAATTATCTATAAAAGCCTTACTAATAGTATAACAAATTTCAAATGTTGGGGGGACCAAGACCCCCCTACCCTTAAGCATAGCTCTGTCCCTGCGTGGTACCCTGCTGGAGTTGGACAGCTGGACCCACATCCGCAGAAATTTGAAATGGTCTGAAAATTTTAGTCAAGACTTGGTGGGAGCAGCAGGGCTGGTCCTGTCCAGTTTTAGGCATATGGGTGATATATTATTTTGGCCTTATTTCTAATGCAGACAGTAAATTATACTTACCTAAAATAAGAATTACACAGTATAATAAAACTATGAGAAATTACCCTAAATAGGACTAAAACGTTTATATATTCCAAAATAGAACTATCATGTTTTTATTCCTTAAATAAGAGTAATTACTGCCATGTTTTGGCAGTGTAAGACTTTAAACATGGCGGCATTTTTCAAACTTGGCAGTAATTACTTCTATTTAGAGAATAAAAATATGATATTTCTATTATGGAATTCTCAAACGTTTTTTACTCCTATTTTAGAAATTCTCCCTAACACTATCTAATAAAGGTTAGGGTACACAGTATAAAATAAAGATGAAATTCACTTTAATATTATTTGAATTACATATTTGGATAAAAGTAACAACACAAGTATCACAAAAGAACATTCTAAAGTGAAATCATCAACAATTACTTTATAATCAATCTTTTCCGACATCTCATGTTCAATGCTTAAAATTATCAATCCATTAAGCTTTTTTGAAACATATTCGATTGCAGATAATTGGGATGAGGTTTGAGAATTGAGAGGCACTGACAGCCCAAAGACAATAGTATAAATTGGTAATTTTGTAATTAAAAGGAATAAAAAGCCTTAAAGACTAAAAAGATCAGAAGATACATGCTTTTATTGATTCAGCAACAAATGTGTTGACTTACAACCAACTCTACTTAAAAATCAAAATTAAATGTATATATATTTTTTAAAACTTGTCTGGCTCCAATAAAGACTTTTTACTTGTGCTTTAAAATTTTCAAATTGTCAATAAAAATTACACATTAGGCCTAATTAGTTAATTGAATTTATAAATAAAAAAGAAGCTTATTCACATTACATATAAAGAAAAAATTTTGGGCCTAATTTTCTTTCTACTTTTTTTGGGCCTAGGGCAGTCTCCCCCTAGGACCGGCCCTGGACAGCAGCCGATAGAAAATTGGCGGTATGAGTAAATACGGAGCCAGACCGAGTGAAGTTGTACTTTGCAGTCTTTTATTAAATTAACTCCCAGTCTTTTATTTACTGCAGGTCTGGCTCTGTATTTAAACATTGAATAATTACTGCAGTAAATACGGAGCCAAACCGAGTGATGACAAATATTTCATCTGTACCACCAGGTGTTGCTTAACATCCACCCATCTAAAGAAATAATTGTAATCATTAGAAAGCAAGATGGGTAGATCCTGGCATTGTATATAAACTGAGCTTTCTACATGTATACATTCTCTGAAAGCTTCTGCCCTATAATTTTAGCTTTTTTCATTCTTTGCCGTGTGTTGGAGTGTGCAGGAAAAGTTTGCAACCTCCACCCCTACTCTGCTGTTTAATCTAGAACTTGACACTTTGCGGTATATTCTAATTTCTTTTTTTGTGATGTTTATTTTGTATATTATTTAATTTGAGTTTGAACCCTTTCTTTATGATGACTTAGTTGTCTTCTGTTGGAAAAATTACAGTGCTGACCTAGGTCTTTTGGGATTTCCACCAAAACAGTTGCATTATCGATTCCTTTCACAATTTACCCCGGTATTTTACATTCGAACTCGCGAGTATTCAAAGGTGCATCCCAAGCTTGTAATCTTTAGTTTCTTCTTAAAAAATGGCTTGTTTTTTACCCATAAAGTTAACAATAATGCTTGCGATTTTCGTGTGGGAAGACTGTCGCGGTGGCGCCGTATATTGTAAACTATAGTGGAGCTCTACTTCGTCTATACCCTGGTACTTAGTTTTATGCATGCACCTTACATGGTTTGTTGCCTCTTGGTGAATTCTAGGAACATCACTACTTGTCCGTACATTGTCTCAACTTACATGCTATTATTATGAACATCAGGCCCGTGGCAGGTGATGTTGAAACAATCAGATGGTTCTTTTGCCTGTGTAGCGGAGAGCGAATCTCGATTCACACTGGGAGAAGTAAGTGTGTGTAGGCTCCAACACACTAAAGTCCTCCAGTGTCTTGATATGGTTGGTTATGTGACTCCTTTGTGTTTATTTGTTATGGTGGCAGACAAAAGAAGAGCTATTGCGGGTTATCGGTCTTGAGGAGGAGATAGGAAGCTCACTTGGCTTTCTTCGAAGAGGATATAAGGTACGTCGGATTCTCCTCTCTTGATTCTACTCACTGCTTGACGATGAAAATTCGGTTGATTAATTCGTTTGTTGGCAGACTGCGACATGGTGGGAAGAAGATGTTGATTTGGAGAGATCTTCAGCTTGGCGTAGTTGAAGTCGAACAACAGGTGCCTGCACAACGGTTATAAGAGAAGTCGCCTCTCAGGTGCAAATGTTTGCCTTGGCTTAGTAGCATTTTCCTTGGTGGGTTCACGTTCACCCTTATGATACTAAGATCAATCAGATGTCAGATGACAACATGTTAGCAAACTTAAAAACTAGAGATTCATGTTTTGTATTCGAAGATAGCACATGTAGATGCACAAGTCGATCACTTCATTTTTATCACGGAGCATTGTCATGTCTGTTATCATTTGTACGAGTATGTTTTTCTTGCATTAAATTAGAAAGAAATGGATATAGCTGTGTCATTTCCATATGATTTTTGAACACCAAGTCACCAATACATTGTGTGGCTCTGTCTATTGATTTCATTTGTATGAAACAAAAAATAGAAAAATAAAATGAGGCGTGATAAGAAAACCTAGACTTGCTAATTTGTTACTCGAGAATGACTTGATTCAAACTCGAATCCAATTCGAACAAAATCAAGCCAAGCTTATATATACGGAGTATATATTTTTGATTTGAAAAATCCGCAAATTGCTCGATTGTGAGAATGTGAGTTATGAATATAGGAGTATACAATTTTACATACGAGTCATAGTGCTGGATCTCGTCAGATGACTCAGATCTGGGCTGGTTCTAATGCCTGACCAGCCAGTCCTGGGGTGGATGGGAATGGGATGAATGGAGACTGGTACACGGCAGGGCGGCAGGCTGGTTTCGCGGTTGACCGGTTGTTTTGGTCTGTGTCATTTTTTAAATTATTATGAATATTATGAATGTAAATATGTTTGCATTATATTCGAATGAATTTATTTACTACAGATAGATAAATGGAATTTAAACAACAAATGTTCCACGCCCTACCTTAGCGGTTATATTATTTGAATTTCGAATTCAAAACACAAGAATCAACAGCCAATGACCAAAAACAACAACTGCATTGATAGAGTATATGAGCTCAAGCCCATGACACACATACTTTGAGATACACAAGCGTTTCCCCCTCATCTGGGCCCCTCGGCCATATAAGAGCGCACACAGAAAAAGTGAAGTCAAAGCCGATCAAAAGTCAAAACTACACTGAACACTGTTGTTCGTACTAGTCATTTCAGCTAGTGACACCTCGTCCAGAGACATATATCCAGACACCATCACTCATACACAAGGGAAACACCAAGGATGAGGGGCACACACACCTCGACCTACGTAACCTCGTCCAATGAGAAGACATCTACTCGACAGTCGGTTAATGAATGACACACATTGCTCTCTGCGGCACCTCAGGGTTCTCGACTTCTTGGCCATAAATTATCTTACATGTGTACATGCATTTCATGCACCACTCATTTATTACTAGTATAAATATTCCCTCGGGGAATATGTAAATAGTTCTGAATTCATTAATATCAGATTACTTACTATATCTAACTCGTAAGTCTCCCTTCTCTCTCCATAATACTGCTAGTGATTTACCGGTGAGCTACCATTTGGTGCTTTCATTTAGAGACAAAGAACAATCAAGTTAGTACTCTCGTCGCTACTACACATCACTAACATTTCAAAAATGGGAAAGACTAAAGGATCAAAACAGACTATCGTGGCCAACAGTGGCGGAACCAGAACGATCTTTGAGCAAGGGCTGAGAAACTCACCAAATTATCGGGTCACAGGTCAACCCCGGATCCGGCGGGTCAACCCGGATCTGACGGGTCAACTCGATCAAAGTTGGGAAGATCAGATCAACTTTTATATAAAATTTATAGTAATAAACATATACTATTGTTTCAAAAGTTAATTTTTTTTATTCTTTACAACAACAACAACATCCAAGTCTTAGTCCCAAAAGATATTGATGTCGGCTAACATGAATCGATACATGATATCACCACCAAAAGAAAAAGAAAGAAAATAAAGATAAAAAAATAACCTATTATAAAAAAGATAATATAAAACGAGATGAATATACCTAAAAATGATAACATAAAAAGGATAATTTTATTCTTCACTACAATAATAAAATTATTTTAATACTTAGTAAGTACTACGTAGCATTTTGTTATTTACAAGTATTTAATAATGTTATTTGATATTTTTTTGTTAGAAAAATGCTTCGTATTTTCTTCCAAAATCCTACGTATTTGAAAATTTCACTGTATTGTTGAATAAGAATACTTGAACATTTCAGAATATTTAATGTTCAAATTAAATATATTCACACATTCAAATAATTAATATGATACGAGTTAAAGTTTTGGCCTAAAATAGTGATTTTGTAGCAAGGTGATAAAATGCAAATTGCTAAACAGAAAAATAATTAAAGAAAAAAGCATCACTATACATTCTGTCAATTCTGAAATAGGCAAAGTGTGAAGCTCAACCTTTATAGGGGTGTTTGAAACTGATTCTGCTTCTGCTTCTTTTTTAAAAATAGAATCAGAATCAGAATCAATTTTGAGAAGCTGGTCAGTGGTCACCCTCAACTTCTAAAAAAACTGATTATAGAAGTAAATTTGAGTACCAGAATCACTTCTGCACTTTCATCCAAACACTCCAGCTTCTGCTTCTGCTCCCTGAAGGAGTAGAAGCAATTTTAAGAATCAGATCCAAACACCCACATAGTTTAATATATTAATATTAATTTCAACTTCGCAGGTAACCCAAATCCAAAACATGGAAATTAGAATTGAATAACTACAAGTCTCAAATGACAAAATAATAAGTTGAAGTATTAAACTACAGAGTAATATATACGAAGTACTCCGTAATAAACTGGCTGTAGCGTGAAACCATAAATGGCCAGATCACGGAATTGGTTGACCCTCTCCCTTACTCCCGCCGTTTCAGATTTCAGCATTTAGGCAATTGGGCTTTTGGCTTGATAACGTACGAAACATTAATAATTAAAATCAGGAAAAATCAAAATAAACCTAACTTCTGCCCACTAGTCGAGCCACGCCGTCTCTTATCCTTTAACTAGTTATTTTCACGCGCCATGCGCGATTGGGTTAGTGCCCAATACTATTTGTGTAATACAAATGTTTGTTTAATGTTTTTACAATCATTTCACTAGTAAAAGTACTGAATTAGTTTACACTCATACACAAAGATAGGGAAAGCTAGAAATATATATAACACTTATTAAGAAATACTTCGTACTTGTATTAAGTTGACGACAAGGATGTAGGGGTCCATGGTGTGGGGTACTACTTCGTAAGATTGATTTTTTTGAACATACTACTTGACAAGATTAACATTATCTAAAGTCTCCATATAGAAAGCCATCTATACACACATAAAAATTCTTTCTATCAACAATAGCAATGAAGTGAACAAGACTTAAGTTTTATACAAGACTTAAGTTTTTGAATAAAGTGAACAAGACTTGTTTTTGAATGAAGTGTTGACTTAAGTTTTATACAAGACTTAAGTTTTTGAATGAAGTGAACAAGACTTAAGTTTTAGAACATCGTGTTCTATACAAAATATATTATGCTATTTAACTTATCTTTAATATTTTTTTCTCATAAAAGGGGCCAACCAAGTGAAACAATAATCAAGTTAATCTTTTCTTGAGAAGTCATGCCAAATCGAATCAAGCCAAAAAGAAAGAATAAGGAAGGACCAACCTAAACCAAGTCAAAGACTAAAGTCTAGCTCCCACTTCCAACATTCTGGTCCCATTTACATAAGAGATAAAAATCAACTCACCTAAGCTAAATCAAAATGGGTGAGTGAGGTAAAAAGGGTCCCAAGTTTCAGACAAGGCGATGCATCGGTACGGGTTGGAGGAGGATAAAGTTAACTGTGAAAATCCAAGAATCAGAAAGTCCTCGGTGAATCCCTTTGTTCAGTGAAGGAGTCTGCAACATTACTCTCTCTGTTTAAGAGAATATACAATCTCCAAGTTGCGTTAGTACTTACTGATTCTGAGATGAAAAAGAATTAAGCTAGTTAACAGCCTCATTGCTATTTATAAATTTCAATGCACCTCTTGAATTGGAGTCAATGATAACTTTAGCCAATTTGGGATTGTAATAGGGTTTAATCTTTGTCTATATAATGGTTTGGAGTTAAGCACTCAAGGCACACAATTAGATTTTTATGCATTGTAACCCTTTTATGATTTCTTTAACAAAAATATAAACACACACACATATACGGAAATGGTTCAATCCCAAATCTATTCATATTTAAAAATAGAAAGATTAAACCCACACACACCCAAGTTCGTTTTTACTTTTAGTCCCATTATTTATTTGGAGGGTCCGTCACAGGTTTGTATGTCTAACGAATGAACTCATGTAGTTTGTTTATTTACCATTTGTCACCTACACTCGGAGTCTGTTGTTAATTTGTTTAACAAATGTGGCTGTCGTGGAGCATTACAATATTTCATCCCTTATTACACATTTTACAAAAAGCAATAAAAAAGAGATCTAAGTCATCAGTAAAAGCATAAATTCCAAACTTGAACAGAACTAAAAAAACTTTCGTCCAGAACTCAAAAATGAGTATAGATTTAAAAGTTGCATAGCTAACAAAGCGATAGGATTATAAAGTTTACATAAATTGCAAAATTCTGCAAATCATATAAATCTTTAAACTGATACTAAAGCTTATAACAACTTTTTAGCACAAATTGCATGGTGAACACAATAGGTCAGCTTAGAGTTCATCTGAACTTTACTTAATTTATCCAACCAGGAACCCATTTAGTAGGAGTTAGGGACAATTTACAGCTCAATTGAATTGGCTCAAGTGGATGGAATTCCATGAACTGATCTATCTAAACATTTACTATCATCAGATACGCACCTAAGAGCAAATATAATGAAATTAGAATTTGCATTGGACTAAGTTATGATTGATCACAAACTCATCAACATTTAATGAAGCATACTTAGAAACAATTTTATGTATCATTTCTAAGGAGTGTGGAGAAACTTTATACTGAGGTGGATATGTATAAAAAATAAAAAGAAATTTTTCCCTAAAAGAAAAAGGGATCCTCACTTACAGTCTGCACAGATTGTGTTCAAGCATTGTGTTCAGGCATTGTGTTCATATGTCAACTGATTAGTATAGATTAATTTGGTTGTTTTGCTAAGAACACCAGCGACAGCCCAAGTATCCCAAGGTTAGCAACCAGTAAATCATTAATGTCCCTTTCCAAATCACTCCCGCTAGACAACATGATCCATTTGCAAAAATCATAGGTATGCTCACAAATGACCTTCACACCAATGATAGAAAGTAGAAACCTTTTTCTGCTTGGGAGGACACATTTTAAGCACTTAATCATATAATATCCCTTCTCTCGCAACCCCATCTCACTCCCAAATCAACTAATCACAAATAATGAATTATTTAATTA